GGGGAGTCGAGTCTCGTCGATTCGCGGGATTGTCCGATGACCTAGAATTCCATTATCGAATTCTGGGTATCTATAGCCCCGGTACCCAGCTGGATGCCGGCTCCCGAAACTCGCAGAGCCTGTCACCCGGCGTCGGGACCCGATACGCGTCGATATTCCTGTCGCGGGTACGACGTTGCGGATGGTAAATGGATTTCTGATGGCGGCGGAAAGCTCTAGCTCTCGTGAAACGACCCCGGAAACCGGGTTTTCGGCCGAAAAGCCGAAAAGCCGAAAAGGTCTCTCTCCCCGAACCCTTTCTCGCCCGCTCTCTCTCTCTCTCTTTCTCTCTCTCTCTCTCTCTCTCTCTCTCTCTCTCTCTGTCTGTCTGTCTCTCTCTCTCGCTCTCGTCCTCGCAGGTTCGCTCTCGTTCTCCGTTCTGGTCGCGTCGCACCAAAGGGAAATAACTCGAGGGAAAATTAGGCGTGTTCCCTCCTTTGCGGCGTTTGTTCGCGCGTCGCGAAGAAACGGCCTTGCTCCTCGACTCGGTCTAATTGGCCCTCGCCTCCAATTATGGGTGGGCCGTTTATTCCGGAAAGGCAACCGGCAGCTGCGCCCCGTTCCCAGCCACAATTTAATATGTATGCCGCGTTCTCGCGAAATCGATAATCACCGGCGCACGGTGACCACAATGACACCGTAAATCAACCACCGAACCGATTAATAGAGCCAGCCTCGCGCACACGCTCCTTCGCCGGAAGAAAGCGAGCGTTCATTATTCAGGGGAACCCGCGACGCCGCTGCGCCCGATCATCAACCGGAATCCGACGCCGTTCCTTTTTCCGTTCCTTTTTCCTGCTGTTCGCTCCGCGCTACCTGTCGGAAAATGCTGCAGCGATCGCAAAGATCAAGATTCAGTATCGGCACCTTTCAATTCTCCATAGAATATAGACATAGAATTGTAGGAAATACAGAATTTCTACCATCAATGGACCATAAATCGAGCCGTTCATTTTGAAAGTGGCATAAGTCACTTTGTTTTGAAGTCGATATATTTAAGGGTTTGCGTTTTAACACGTTTAAAAATATGGATGCTAACTTTCGAGAAGATTTACTTGTATTTGTTATCTCAAGATACTGATATTTTTCTGAGTATAAATAATTTCGTATAAACGTTAAATAAATCACCACTTTTCATTACGGTAAAGTGACTTATGCCACTTTCAAAATAAACGGCTCAATTGTCTCTCTCTCTCTCTCTCTCTCTCTCTCTCTCTCTCTCTATCTATCTATCTATCTATCTATCTATCTATCTATCTACAGCGAAAACCTCCGGTATCAATATTAAAATGAAAATCTACATTGCAACAACGGTTTATTATACATTTATAAATGCACGATAATGTTCGCGCGACCGAAAACGCGATGGCCGACTTCGAAGAATGATTGGAAAATGTAATTAGAAAATGAAGGGATCCTCCCGACCGAAAACACAGCGAGCGCCACCGGCAAGCAGATGCAACACCCAATCGCGTTCCATCAATCGTTGGAAACAGGGATTATTCGAGTGCGCGTTGACGAACCGATGGAATAATTGATCGACTGCCTCCGTAGCGGAGTTTAATTAATATCGATGACGATTAAAGGGCCGGGGAGAGGATCGTTAACAGCGACAATGAAAATATCGTTCGCCGGGGTAGGGCGGTGATAAATTATCTATCCGGTTTCACTGTTTAATTGTACGTACCAATTAAAACGGCGCCGTTTAATTAAACGCGAGTTTCCCTTTGCCGGGCTTTCGCCGCCTTGTTTTCTTTTCGAAAACTCCGGCTCGCTTCTTGGAGGAACTCTAAAACGAGAGAGAGACAGACAGAGAGAGAGAGAGAGAGAGAGAGAGAGAGAGAGACAACGGCTCGCGTTAACGCAGCCTTTCGCACGGTGAACATCGGCTAACGTTTCCAATTACACGGTAATTAATTACTCTAGAATGCCGAACGACCGATTGACTTCCGTTGCGATTCGATTTTCCGGTCCCAGCGACACGGAAACTTAATTTTCCAGCTGAGAAACCGGCCGTCGCTTCGGCCGCGCATGTCGAGGGCCTGGAAAATAAATTTCCCGCGTTCTCCGGCTCGTTCGCGACGAAAATTTTCATCGTTCGGGTCGCGGGCCGAACGATATGAAAGTCGCCGGGCAATATGCGGAAAAAGGGGCACCAGGGAATGCGGGTGAAAAGTCTAATAAGGCGTGGTCGCGTCGATCGTTCCCTCGAAAGGGGACGGGACAATGGGCTCTCTCCTCCACATTCTTCTACGGTTTTCCGGCATCGCCCCCGGTCTTGCTCGTCTTTCCATATTTCCGTCAACATGCCGGAAGACCAACACTTAATCCTGCGGTCGCTCGGCTGGTTTATTTGAATTGGATGCACCAATAGGATCTCGACGGGTCTGGATAAGGCGCTTTAAAATATACGCGAGCTTCGAAAGTAGCTTATAATCACACATAATAACGTAATAACATAATAACATAATTACACACAATCATATATAATAAATAACGAAATACAATTATATTCGAAAATGAAATTGAATCATTGGCATCTTTAACACTAGATTTGCGGAGCAGCTGTTTTATATTAGTTCATAAAACTAATAGATAAATTGAATAAATAACTCATAAATGTATCTTTACGATATGAATAATCGCAAATTGAAAAATTAAGGACCCGTCATTTTGACGGGTTCCGTAAATCTAGCGTTAAACGTTAAACCATTATCCGATTGCTTTCTTTTTTGCACGCATCGTTTTCTTACCAAGGATCATAAGTTGGAAGAGTAAGACCACAATTATGCAGGAAGAGTCTCGGCGAGTCTCGATAAAACACCTGAAAAAGTAGACAGTTTTAACAGCAGTGCTAACACCGAAAATATTCGAACAGAACGAAAAGTGCTAAGCCCGTATAAGTTGAAATCGATGTTCCATTTCCATTATCCAAACATCTAAAGTTTTCTTAGCCATCTCAGCACAGCATGGCACTGCTTTAAAAAATCTTATGTTACGATATCTCAAAAGAGCGAAGAATACATCTGAGTTAGGAATAAAAAGGCTGAAGAAATTGGCGGCAGGCAAAAAAAACCTCACGCAGTAAACGCGAAAGCAAGTTCCAATCGGGTGAATTCGAACGCCGCGGCGCACCGAGCGCGATAAAAATTACTCGCTGAGAGAGAGGAAATGAGACGCCGAAGATAAATAAAACGAAACGCGACCAGTGGAATCACGTAGCTCGCCCCCGTCAACTGGCGTGCTTCCCGCGAAACACTTATCTCTCGGTAAATAGATCGGTGGGAACGCGGTACCAAGAACCGGAGCACCCTCCTTTCTACCCCGTTCGCCACCCCGTGGATGTTATTCCGCTGGCAGGTAACGCGGTGTTCGCCGGCTCTCGAAACCATTCTTTTCCCGGCGATATCGAGACCGAGACAGTTCATCGCGGTCGAGTGGCCACGTTGCGACGTTTTCCAACTCGATTCCCTGGAAAACCGTCCCGGCATCGTCCGACCATAGAGAATCGTTCCGACGATCGATTAAACCCACCCTCCCTCCCCCCCCCCGTCCCCTGCTTTTCCACTGTTTCAGCTGAGCGGGGAGATCCTGGATCGGACAGGATCTTAACCGGTGGGGGGAGGGGGGAGGAAGGTAAGGGGACCTTATACTCGCTATCTCTTTTGCTTCATTTATTTCTCCTGCAGGAAATGCGATCCCTTTGTTACGTAAATAACAATGGAAGAGACGGGCAAGGAAATCGAAGCGAAAAGAACGGAATGCGTATCGCGAGAGAAACAGATTGAAACGATTAAATCGCGAAGCGCCGGTCAGACGTTCCCCCGAAGAAAATGCCATAAAACTGTCTTTCGTTTCGCTTGGGAACAGTTTCGGTTTGATGGAACTCGGCGAGCCGTCGCGCACAAAAGAGAAGCGACGAATTAAAATAACTTTCTTCGAAACCATCTTTCCGATTTGCAATTATGAAGGCGGGAGATATCCGCGCGAGCGTCTGCTGGAAAGAAATCCTTGCATTAAAACTCGGTACGTGTCCGAAGATATTCAGTTCTGCGGCCCGGCAGGGATTATAAGATACTACGGCGGCGGTGAAACGAGAACCGAAGGCGCATAAAATTGCGAATTTAAAGCAGAAGGGATGGAATCTCTTCAATTACCTCTAAGTGGACGATTCACGGCTGACTAGAGGGGGATTTCCTAGTTAATGGGACCGTTCGTCGCCGATTAATTATTCGTTGAATTATTTCTCGAGTGGTCCGGAGCAAGGGTATAAGCTGCTTACAATTACAAATGGCGAGAGGAGCAGATAATCGCTACTCCGAAACGTTCGATCGATAACTTTGTCATCTCTTTCCGAAACAATTCCTGGTCCGGATGCGTGCGGCGTTCGGCAAGGCCCGTTTCTTCAACCCGCCAACGATCGCCTCTTGCTTCCAATAGTTTTGCTTTGACGACGGCGGCCGAAAAGGATCGAGATAACGCGATCGTAGACGGGGGCACCGTCGAGCGAATTTAAAACGCGGAGGAGAAAGCTCGCGAGCGGGCCGAAGAGGGGGCCGTGGAGGGGTCGAGAGGGGACCGGCCGTCAAAGGCCGAGGGAAATAATTAAAAGAAAGTTTCAGCCGCGCGAACTATCGCTTTGACCGGCCAGAAGATCGTTAGGTTTCACCGAAGGGGTTCCCTGTCGCCTTTGTCGAGGCACCGGATCGGTTTCCGGTTCTCGAGACGCGACTTGACCGATATCAGCCGCCGGAGATTACGCGAGGTGTCTATTGTGTCCGCCTTTGGGTAATTAAAGCCGTTACGTCGGGGAAATTAAATCGTTTGATCGGTAATAGACGCGAAACGCGAGAGAACCCCATTCGATGACAATCGTCTCTGGTTCGTGGATCGATTCACGCATCGAAAGGCTCGTGGTCTCATCTTTGATCGTTCTTTTCTTTTTTCTGTTTTCTCCGCAGCCTCGGATCTGGACTGCATACGAGCGCTGTTCAACGAGAAGGAGAAGGAGCTGTCGCTGGCCGTGGCGAAGGTCGAGGAGCTGACGAGACAACTGGAGGAGCTGCGGGGCCGACAGAACGCTGTGGGCACCGGGACCGGAAGCGGTGGCCCAGGAGGCGTGGGTGGCGGTGGCGTCGGCGGTCCCGGCGGCGGACACCTGTCGACACCCGCCAGCGCCGAGCTCGAAAAGCTCAGGAGAGAGCTTATGGTGAGTGCTTCTGTCCCCGCTTTCCCCGAAATCCTCGTGGTACCGCCAAGAAATCGTTCGATTCCCGAAATGTCAGACCCCGAACACGGTCCTCATAGTCCTTGCACTATCCACTGCTGCGCCGATCTTCCATTTGCAGTAAATTCGCCGTGGCTATCCGCGCCGGACAGTTCGATCTCGGGAATCGGAATGGCCCTGCGTGGACGATCGTTTCAGATCGGCAGATCCGTTGCTTCGATTATCGTTACTCCGGCTAAACGAGGTCCAAGAGCGTAGAAACGCCGCAGCTTTCGGCTGCCTTTCGCGCCACCCGCGTTCTCATTTCTCGAACAAAACTCGCAGCAGCGGACCTGTTGTCCCAGATCCGACGGATCGTGTAATATCGATGTGCTTTCGACAGTACCGCAACAAGATGAACGAACAGCAGAACCAAGTGGTGTCCCAGCAGCGGTTGGCCCTGGCGCAGCGGCAAGCGGAAATGGCGTCGATCGACGCGAGGATAGCGCAGCTCCAGGGTCGACTTCAGCGCAAGAGAGCTCTGAACCAGCGGCTGAGTCAGCAGCTGGGCTCCGGGAACCGTGGGAACGCGAACACCGGGTTCACGGAGTCGAAGCTCGACTTCAACGCCGGCGGAAAGTCGAGGCCGGCCGGCAACATAGCCGCGATCGAGCCGTACTCCCACATACCGAACGACAACGACTTCAACCTGAACAAGAACGACCCAAAGTACCAGACATTGCCGTACAACACCAAGTTCACGGTGAACTTCAAGGCCGCCGAGGACGACGTGAACAAGAACAAGATCCAGCACTCGGCCAGCGCATCCCAGCTGGGCCAGAGAGTCACCTTCCAGCAGTTCGGCCACCAGATCGCGCACAGCCAGTCTCAGTCGCATATCCAAGGTTCGTAGAGCCCGAAGAATTCCGCGTAGCATTCCTTGGAAAACTCGTACGAGTCTCTAAATGAAAATTAATGAATTAAATCAATGTTCCGTTTCGTTTCTGTAGGTCAATCGCAACTCCTCGGCTCGAACCAACAACAACACAGTCAAAACATCGGCGGCCAGCCTGTGAACCTTCAGCAGACCTGCAACAACAACAACAACAACAACAATAACAACAACAATAATAACAACAACACGAACAGCACGAACAACAACTTAATCGGCTCGGGTCACAACTTCAGCCCGGACGGTCTGTCGCAGAACATCCGGGTCCACCATCAGCAGCCTCAGACACAGCAGCAACAGCAACAGCATGGGAATCTGCAGCAGAAGCAACACAACATCGGCTCCTCGGCGTCCAGCCTGGGGACAACCGTGTCCATCACGCAAACCCAGAACCATAGGAACCTCCAGACCCACCAGAAGCCGGTGTCCAGCGTGGCGCCGAGTTTCTCGGTGAAGTCGCAGATCTACCAGACCTCCTCGACGAAGATACACCCGGTGATGCCGCAGACCTTGAGCCTGATTGGCCGCGGGCACGCGAACTCTCAGAACTTCGTCGGGCTGAGCACGCAGAACGCGAGCCAGCAGCAGCAGCCACAGCAGTCGAACCAATCGGTGCCCAGCAATCAGGCTTCGAACCAGGAGCAAACGTACAGCTCGAGGCACAATTATCCGGGCATCCAGCACTCCGGCCAGGCCAACACCCACGTGTCCTCTTCGTCCTATCAGGCACAGAACTCGCCGAGTTTGCCGTCGACCGTTCACACGTCGTCGAGCGGGATGAACTTCGGCAACCAGATCCAGAGGTACAACCAGACCCAGGGATTGACCAGTCCAGCGTCGGGTAGCATCGACCAGACCGAGAAGAAGTTCGACAAGGGCCAGGAGAAGTTCGAGCACAAGCAGGATCAGAGGTACGAGCCTAATCCCGCGTTCAAGTACGATCCTCACCAGATGAAGTACGACCAGCACTCGAAGTACGAGCACGGCAAGTTCGATCAGACCAAACACGATCAGCCGAGCAACCAGACCGGAAAGTACGATAACGCGAAGCTCGAGGGCAAGTACGAGGCCTCGCAGGCGAAACACGAGCCGCACCATGTCCTCAAGTACGATCCGAATCAGAACACTCAGCAGTACGGCAAGCACGATCAGCACGAGGTTCGACCGTCGGTGAAGTACGAGCTGAACACGGCGTTCAAGCACGATCCTCCGGGCAAGTACGAGCCGGGGGGGCAACAGTTCAAGCAGGAGTCGGTCAAGTTCGAGAACAATCAGAACAAGTACGAGCAGAGTGCCGCGGTGAAGCACGAGCACAATGGGAAGTTCGAGATCCCAACGAAGATGACGGACAAGCCGCCCGAGTTCGACAGGCTGAAGAGCGAGAGCGAGAGGAAGGGTCTGGCGGAGATCCGGGGGGAGGATAAGACCAAGCCGGCTTTGCCGCCGAAGCCTAGCAAGCCCAACCCGCCGCCAAGATTGACCCACCATGAAAAGGTCGACAACTCCGGAGACGATTGTAAGAACACCATGGGAATCAGCCCGAGGTTCGTATATCTGTGAAAGATTTCTCCTTGAATCCCTTGAGTCTAGACCAGAGCTAGAGGAACGTGGGGTATCGTCGCGAATTGGAGTCTCCTCGGGGTTTGTGGGTGTTCAATTCGATCGGGTTTGCAAAGTCGAGTCTCCGGGGGGAAGAAAGGGATTTAGCGGTCGCCGGAGCTCTCCAGAAGTAGGATGATCGAGGGGGTGCAAAGGTTTCGGGCACAGGATGACAAAACGATTACCGGGTTAATTATAAATGTAAATTAGTCCGTGATCGATTTGGCCGGTGAATCGAAGCCTGTCTCGAATAAAAGACACCGAAATAGACCGACTGCTGTGAGCCGCGGAGACAACAGCTCTTAGTACTGGCGAGCTCTCCGATCGGTCGAGGCCTTGTTTTCCGATCGGCTAGTTTGTGACGCGCGGGCGCGCCCTTCCGTTTCGATTCGTTCTTTTGCCATTGTCGTTAAAACGGGGAATCAGCGGCGCGGTTTTGCACGATATCCGAGGAGAACGAGTTTGTCCGGTATCGGCCGACGATCTCGCGGTTTTATCGCGCCGAAGCACTCGCGTCGATCTAAATCGTCTTGTATCTATGCTAATACGTGCATTGACATTCGAAAAGTCAGCCAGTTAGCGGGTCGAAACCGGTTGAAGGTAAAAAGAGACCCGACAAGGAACTGAAATTGATCCGCTTCCTGCGCCGCAAAGACGGTTTAACGCATTTGTTGCGTTCGATCTGCGGTAGGATCGAGCGGCAAATTTATCCACGCTTAACGATCCCGTCGAATTTGTTTTCAGAACGGAGAAAGAGGAGGACGCGCCGCCGATTCCGACGTCGGAGCCCCCGGAATCGCCGACAGAGACGCCGTTCGGCAACCATCAGATCATCAAAGCCCGGCCTCTGACCCTGAAGAAGGCGCCGATCTCCGAGCAGCCGAAGCTCCGCTACGCCAAGTCGAATGTCCACGTGTCGATAAACCGACGGATTGAAATGCCACCAGCGTTCCTGTTCCCGGAAACCGAGATCCCAGCGGACCTGATGCAAACCGAGCAGCAGCAACAGCAGCAACAGCCCCAGCAGCAGCCGCAGATCATCGACACGACGGACAACTGCAAGAAGAGCATCGAGGACGTGATCAGCAATGACAAGCTGGAGGAGTCGGACATCATCGACGCGCTGAACGTGATCAACATCGAGGACAAAGCGAAGGCGCAGAAGGACTCGGACAGAAGGACGGATCTGGACGCGGACGTGAAGGGGAACGAGGTCATGAGGAGGAAGAAGGGGAACCTGAAGTCCAGCACGGGAAAGGCGAACCTCTCGAGGAGGGTATCCTTCGATCCACTGGCCCTCCTGTTGGACGCCAGCCTCGAGGGTGAACTGGAGCTAGTGAAGAAGACCGCGAAGGAGGTCGCTAATCCCAGCTCTGCCAACGACGAGGGCATTACTGCCCTTCACAACGCCATTTGTGCCGGTCATCTGGAGATCGTCAAGTTTCTTGTCGAGTTTGGCTGCGACGTCAATGCCCAGGACAGCGACGGATGGTAAGATAACGGAAGATCGCTTGGAACGATGATGAGTTTGCACGCGGACAAATTTTTCATTGTAATTCCGTTCTTCAGGACGCCGCTGCATTGCGCCGCCAGCTGCAATAACCTGTCGATGGTGAGGTTCTTGGTCGAGCATGGAGCCTGCATCTTCGCCACCACCCTCTCGGACCACGAAACTGCCGCGGAGAAGTGCGAGGAGGACGAAGAGGGCTTCGACGGCTGCTCCGAATACTTATACAGTTAGTATTCGAGGATCAATGATAGACTGCGAATCTTTTAGCAAAATATTTATTGTTAATAATTATTGTTAATAAAAATCTCTTTTACTCGCAGGTGTACAAGAGAAGCTGGGCATAATGAACAATGGCCAAGTGTACGCCGTGTTCGACTACGAAGCGCAGCACAGCGACGAGCTGACCCTGAAGAACGGCGACTCTCTGGTTGTGCTTCGGAAGGGCGACGACAACGAGAGGGAGTGGTGGTGGAGCAAACTGGGACACAAGGAAGGCTACGTGCCTCGGAATTTGCTTGGCGTAAGTTGCACTCCTTCTAGAAGACGAAGGTGGCAGGTCGATAAACTATGGCCGACAATGTTTCAATAATCAACGTGTTCATCGATGATTAGATCGATCTGATTGTTGTCTGTTTCAGTTGTATCCGAGGGTACAGCCGGCGAAGGTGGACTGAGCCTTGTCAGCCCGCGATAATCCGATGATTGATCATTACCACAGTATTCGATTCGCAGCTTTATCTCGTTAAGTATCATAGTTGCATCGTCGTCACATTACCAACGTTCTATCTTATTTAATCGCGTCCCATTGTCATCCGTAACGGGCCGAGCGAGAACAGAGACACAGAAACGCTCTCCTCGACGCGTTGTAGGTTTCATTTCTTTTTTATGTTTTGTAAGACAAAACCGGTTAATGAGCCCGGAGCATGGGGTTATCGTAAGTTATTCTCGTTGAAGGCGATATCAGGGCGTCGACCAATAAAAGTAGTCGCGGTTTTCAGCGACAAGGAACAGGATCGAAGAAAAAGAAAACTGCAATTAAATGATAAACAATTAGGACACACGGAGAACATAGTCTTCTTCGTACGCGATCGAACAAAAGAACAACGCTTCGTATTAATTAACACGCGCACAGTTCTAGTTACAAAAGAAGGATTCCACTTGTGAATTTGTCGCGTCTCGAAGCGAATAAAGTGATCGACTACTAAAGCTACTGAAGCTGACCCGTAAGCGCTGCCCTATAAAAGTAACAAGATTCAATTTATTCAATAATTTCCCACGAGAGCGTATTTAGAATTTAAGTAATTGTAATATAAAAAAAAAATCTGACATCGGTTATTTGACCAACGGTGGTAGTCTTAGTGTTGAGAGAAAGATGTACTCGACTTGAAAATCTCGCGAGAATCGTTCGTCCTCGTACCCCGCGCTTTAGTCAGTTCCTTCAACGAAACAGTACAAAAGAAAAAATATGAATTTCGACTCTTCCCTTATCCCCTCCCTCTCGGCAATTCCGCTTTTAGGTCGACGACTCCCTGAGCTGACAGTCGAAGCGTTTTACATTTAATACGGATCACTTAAGCGTCAAGCGTCACGCACGTCCCGCGAGCGAAGATCACTTGGAAAGTTCCTCCAGCGCTTACAGCATGAAAAACGAATCGAACGTACGGGATCTACTGTTAAATTAATTGTAAGAGAAGTATTACAGCGAACAGCAACAATTTTTATTTTAATCCCGACGTTTTGTGTGTAAGCTTCCGCCTTCGAGCCACTCTGTACATCGATCTTTTTCCTTATGGAAGAACTTTTCGAATGATCCTCTTCGGCTGCTGGGGACTTACCCTCTCCCAACTCCCCTTCATTTTAACGCGTACTTAACATTTGATTTGTTTCACCTAAATGGCTCCGTTTAGATGAAGTCAGATTATTGTTGCAGATTATTGTTACGTTTTTCCGTCACCAGCGAAATTTTCCAAATCCGACTGAGGCGATCTCGGATTTCGAAAATGTTCCTAACGATGTAGAATGTAATCTTGCCGGTCAGGCGCTTCGGACCCCGAGAGTGAACGAAGAGAGGATGATGCGCGCAATCCGGGATCCCTAGGACCGCTCTAGGATCCCCATGACGAATCAAACACGCGACTAGAATTGTATAATTGATTATTACACTGTTCTGCAGATTTTCACTATTTTCTGCGCTTCGATAATCGATGGATCACTCTTGGAAATATTTATCCCCACCACTTTCAATTGTCAAGAAATTGAATCGTGAGAAATCGAACTTTTTAACTTCAAAAATTATTTGTGCTTTCATCGTGGAAACAGTTCACATGTTGTACACTGTACAATAAATTTTTTCTAATATCATAAATGTTTAAACATATTTAAATAACTCTGAACTCTTCAATAATGATCTATCGATTAGCAGAAGTCAAAATAGTTGTTGGACAGTGTTTATCAGCCAGGCCAGGTTCGAATGACTTACTGTCAGACGGGTTCTGAGCGCATCTTGTTGTACTGTTTAAGAATGTACAGATGAATGAATGCACCAGCGCTCAGAGCATTTCTGACGCCTACTCGTAAATAAAGAATGTGCCTTTCAGAAGTAATAATGGATATATTATGTAAGAATGCATGATATATTATGACGAATAAATTGTTTTTAATAGAAACAAAATCATTACAAAACACCGTTTATTGTCGTGAAAAAATACAGGCGGGCAGCCGATATATTCAGGGTAAGTAGTCGTCCCGGTTACTTCTTAGAAAAAATACTATCGAGGTATATAAAATAAACGCTAAAATCTCATTATAAATATCATTAAAAACTACAAAAGAGAACACGTCCATCGGGAACGATAAAATAAGGCACTAACAGTACGCGCGTCCGTAATAAATTAGATTTTACTGGGATTACATAGCATGCTTTCAATGCGACACATTTTTGTCCGATAATGTTAATTAACAGTACACAAGATTATAAAAAAGGGCTAAGCATAAAAGTTTAAATCACTCTTACGTCTACGTTAATACCATTCCAAACAAATATCATTAGTGTATTTGACAAAGCGGTTGTAAAAAAATATTAATTAAAAAAAATAATTTAACAGTGAAGACTGTTAAAATCATGGGTCTCCGCATGGCGTGTATCAAAATTAAAATATGTATATATTACAAATATATATGTATATAACTGTGTTAAGACTTGTAATACGTATGGCCTCATGTGTCCTTAATAGTAACGATATAAAAGAATACTCAAGTATCGTTTGTTTTTCCTGTTTTTTCAAAAGAAAATGCTTAAGTTTCATTGTTTTTCGCCTCGCTTATTAACTGCAGACAACTCTTTATATCCTCGCAATCGGCGACCATCGCATCAAGTCTGAAAATTACATTATGTAGATCTCATTCTATGTCAACAATAATTTTCTAACAATACCTGTCGGTAAACATATCCAATGCGGTTTCAGCGAAATTTCCTCTCTTCAAGGCTTGATGGTAAAAGTGCGTCAAATATTTAAAACATTTATGAGTCAAATCGCAAACGTTTTGATTCTCACATTTCGATATTTGCTTTGTAACATTCCATGCTGCATGTACGTATTGTATCACAGATGTCCAGTGCTGAGACTCGACCAGTCTTTTTCCCTGATCTATAATAGCTTTCTGTGCAAAGTCGGAATATTATTAGTAACAGATTAAAATGAAACATCTTGAAACCAACAAGTAAGAAACAATCACTGTATATAGAGCACCTGAAACACATCTAAATGAATATGCATATAATTATTTGAAGAATCCTCGAATTTGGATGACACCAAACTGAGATGAATATTTTGCTTCAAATTATTTAGGGTATCAATTAGTGGCTGTACATCCGCTACTGGCATTTTCTTTAGGAGAATATTATGTAGCTTCTCTCCTTCTGGCAGACCACTTTCTTCTTGTGCAACAACCACATCCATTATCATGCTTACTAACTGATCGCGACTCAGTCCTCTTAAACCGCTAGCCAAGTTTCCAGCAAATTGTGTCTGTGAATTATTAGTAGCTGACAGGAGCTGTGATTTTTTCTTCTTCTCTGGTGTTGTAAATTCCAATTCGTTTGGGTTGCCCAGGACAAGCCTTTTTCTGGGTGTGCTTCTCAGTACCATGCTAGTTCCTTTTGTCGGACTTTTCACAGGAGTACGGTCCCTGGAACTTAAACTGGAATGAATTCAATTGAGCTTTCCTTAAATGATTTCTTTGATAATATTAAAGAGATACATATTGATTAACATATCGATAAACACGCTTACTTGAAGAGACTATTTCGTTTGCATGTATCAAGATCAGGTGACCAAACTATGGTCTTACGACGACGCCCACGCTTCTGTATCACTAATTCATCCGGGCTAGGTGCAGGGCTCCAGGAATCAGAGCCATGCCGGCTGTTTAAAAAGTTATCCATTGCATTGACTTCAGTAGAAACGGTCTCTCCTGAAACAGGAGATGAAATTGAAACGAACAAACAGGTGGGCCGCACAGAGACTTGTCAGGAACGCACCAGGCGACACCGAATTGTTGACAGGGATCACTGCCAGAGCTTGTCTAGAAGATCTTCGACGAGTTGCATCTGGCCTTCGAAGAAAATCTCTCCTCGTTGGTGTGTTCATTTTGTCAGAATAAACCAAAAATTCGTTGCAATAGACGGTCTCTTGTTCTTTTTTTTTCACGAAACGTATGCTTCGATGACACGTAAAATGTCAATTCGTCTTTTCACCATCGAATCGGTGTCCAATGCTTTTGCACGTTTCACAAACGAGGTGAATGCATTTGCTACTCAAAAATCCATTTAAAATACACACTTTGTGTCACAGAACGAGTGCAATAACAAGGAAAAAACAATCACAACAAGGCGTCAATACTTGCCCGAGAATGGGATCAGAAAATGGCGGGAAGTAAGCTGATTGGATTCTACCAGCAACGACGCATGTTTAACCTGTTGCACTATAGAAAGGCTGAGCCGAGCCTCAAAAACTCAAATCTATATAACTGATTCTGTATATATAAGTTATTTATTTCTAGTGCACTTTTGAAGACAGGAATAGCAAAAAATGACTTAATAAAATATTCTAGACGATGAAAATAATACGTTTTCGATATTTTGTAATTTTTACGTTCGCAAGTCCAAAACAACCTGTTATTACACCTTCTCTGATGCACAAACACTTGTAGATCTGTTCAATGGCGTCAACGCTACACTGTATACTGGATCAGTAATAAACGATATGTGTATTATTATGACATAAATAATATGGTTAAACGCAAGAAAAATAATCCTCAACTCATACAGTCTTAAAAGAATATCGTGTACGAGGATTTTATTTATACCTAACATAATTTTTTACGATTATCTAATTCTTATGTATGCTTCGAATGATTTGGACCGCTTGTACCATAAAGTATCGTATAAATTTCGGCAAAGATCATTTGCTCTTTAAAATCTATGAATACAGTACATACTATGGTGAAGGAGAATTGCTTACTATGGTGAGGCATGATTGTAGCGCCATTCCACGTAGTGACAAAACGTTGAAACTGATAGACAAATTTACTGACAGTGGAAACACTTCTGTAAAAAAAAAAAACGTTTCCTAATAACGTCGGTAATTTGATACAAATTATTGTATGTATGTACATATTTAAGCACGTATGTATTTTGTATTTTGGTGACGCAAAACCTCATATAATGCTTGATCTGTTCCTATACCTCGTCTGTATTTGGATCACATAGAAATCATGTGGAAATTAAAATTCATACTAATAATGTGGGATTATTATTAGTTTTTTCGTCGCCTTGTAATTTGAATATTTTTCCGATTTTGTTTAATAAAAATCACTTGACATATATAAAGCGCTGTACAAATCAGTAGAAGGCGTCATCCTGTTGATCAAATTGAAATCGTTTTATAATCTATGGCTATGACACAAGCGCAGTCGTCTTAGGTGCATCTGACTTGTCCTCATCTGTACAGAGAACCGACATTATATCTGTGATATTCGCTATAATTAATTATTGTGTGACACAATTAATCGAACACAGGGTAAGTTCATTGAACTTGTAATTAAAAAAAGGAAACTAATATATGTCCAGTCATAAACGTAATATTTTTTCTGACGTGCTTAGCTAGAAATTATGGGTTATGCATGTATGTCGATCTTGTGATGTAACAGTTCTATCAGTCGAACTTAAATTTTATTTGTCACAGTAACCTATGTAAAATTGTCTGAAAATTGTATTTCCCGTAGAACACTAAAATGGCCATATTCGCTCGTAATTTGCGTCCGTATTTGAGGTATGTTCGCGGTCAAAGTAGAACTTATGCTGATGCTCCTGCTAGCAGCAATGAAATGAAGTTTACATTTGCTGGAGCTAATCAGGTAATATTATATGTCTTGACAAATGTGCATAGGTATCACATCACTCTCTAATAACACTACAGAATTTCAATATTATTCTGGCAGGTATTTTATGACCAAGCTGCAATCAAACAGGTCGATGTACCATCTTTTTCCGGTTCATTTGGTATCTTACCAAAACACGTTCCCACATTAGCTGTGCTAAAGCCTGGAGTAGTCACAGTATTTGAAGAGGGTGGTGCAACCAAAAAAATATTTGTTTCTTCGGGAACAGTTACTATAAATGAAGATAACAGTGTACAGGTATTTTTCTCACTATATGCATTACTAGATTAAGAAATTGAAATAAGTATTGTAAATATCTATTTTATAGATTTTAGCAGAAGAAGCTCACCCAGTAGAAAATCTTGATAACTCAGCGGCCAAAGATATCCTTAGTAAAGCTCAGCAACAACTCTCATCCGCGTCAACTGATAAAGATAGAGCTGAAGCACAAATAGCAGTTGAAGTTGGAGAAGCTTTGGTAGCCGCTTCCCAATGAACGTTACATCGTTAACATAAAAAATATTCTCTGTTATCAAATCTTAGGACATATATTCACCACACTTCTGTCATGGTATTGTATAAAACTGTAGAAATAATAAAAATTTATAACTAAGCCACATACAAGTTAATTTTATCACAGAAAGAATAATACATATCTTTTTGTATTATAATTTATTATATGTTAGTTAACTTTTGCTTAACGAATAACAATAAAATTTTACTTTCTCTAAAAACTATTTAGGTACAGTGATTTTGTTGTATTTAACAAGTACATACGTGTAACAGCCACAAAAAAATTGATTGATTATATCGCTCATTTCGCTTTTATAAATAGTTAGAGGATATTGTTTCAATTTTATTGAACATTTTTTTCGATGCTTTCCCGAAATTAAATATCTAAACAATTGCATGGTTTTTGTTTGGTTTCGGAACATCGTGCACTAGAAAACATAATAAATATTTAACTCTTGCTTTAAATTAATACTAAAACATTTAGTACACTACACACACATCAACGATGCTGGTTTTATATATATGTATATATATATATATATACATATAAATAGCATATAAGTTAATAAATATCAATGTACTATAAAAATTTGTAATTTTAAATCTTTTTTATAATTGTTAATCATACATAAAAAAATGTTATGTACATGATATTTGTACATTAAAAATATGTTGTACCAATCTATAAAATGTTAAAGTATCAAATTTGATATAACATTTATATAATATACTTTGCAGTAGACTTTTTCAGACAAAGGACACTTGTTTCGATTTGTTCAGTGTGCTACAACAACAGAGCTTTTCACTTTTATAAACTATTCAACAGCAGTGTCAAAGACTTAGAACTCTTTAAGTAAAAAATTTACAAATATATGTTGGCACGCGAGAAATTCTATTATAACTCCTAAATATTGCATCTACAATAATAAAGTCTTGAAATATGGTTCAGGTATGTATATACAACCCTATACTCTCGATTCTCGGCCTAGGTAACATTTCTCGAAGTTAACATTCATGAGGGAAAAAGAAAAATCGCGTTTAAAGCTAAGCAACCTAATCTGTAAATCACGATTAATAATAAATCCCGGCGCTGAATGTATTATGCGAAAAATATGTTTCTTTTGGCATGACTAGCTGCACGATAATCCATCCGTGTCTCATTGATTTCTTGTCAATTGACATTGCATTAACGACGGTAACAATTTTTCTCTACAAGTTATGTCGCTGGTGCTCTTGCAGCAATCGCGAGTAAATACTTTCTGCAGTTGTTGTAATGTTTTAAAACAGATAACAACACAACAACTGTTGCTATCACCGAGCTCGTTATTACATAAACGTTCGCTTGCGACATCCTCTACTACTTTGGCCATATTCTTTTTATTGCTTTCCGGTGGTTTGCTACATGAGCTATTCTGACAACATTGCAGGTGATCAAACTTGCAGTCGACACACTTGCACATGCTCGTGGCGGCTGCTATTTTCTGCAAAATGTTCCTGTTCTTTCCTAACTTTGTACTATTTTCTCTCCTATCAGTTTTTGCGTTGCGATCAACGTTCTTTGTGCTGGTAGCGATGCTCTCTACCAAGTTTGCGTTGTCCAAATGTTGTAATGGCTCCAGTTGATTTTCTACTTGTAACGGATAGGGTTCTGGTTCGACTAAATCGACTAGCGAGTGTACTGCGGTGGGAAAAGCATTCAATTCCGACCAGGATTGTGTCCTCAAAGTGGACGGAGTCGCCAAAGCCATAACGTTCGTCCAAGGAGAAGGTATTTCTTCTTCGGACGCTATGGCTAACTCGATGGCTTCCGATGGCACGTTATGAACGCCTTTTGTATTTAATTTCTGACCCTCTTTATTCGAAATTTCTGTTTCTAAGGTGTCATTGACAAACGACAGGTTTCCTATTCCACTGTTGAACAGCTGTGTATCGCTGGAAGAATTAATTATATTTGATACTTGACTAGTAATAGAATTACCACTATACAACGTTGCGCTGCTACTGTCGATAACTGATTCCAGATTTGATCCATTGCTGATTCGTTGGTTTTCACATTGTTGGACATCACTTGTAAAGTCGGCTCCTTCCGATATATGAGCTATAGCGTTCTGCAAGCCATCCTGTATAATTTTCTGCTCCAAATTTATGGAGTTTGTGTTTTTCACGTTGTTTGTTTTATTCTCTATCTCTAGCGTTGTAGTCTCTGATGTATATTGTTGGCTCTGCTCGCGTGGTAAATTCGAATGATTTATTTCTGTGAATATCTTAAATTTGTCGTAGCTCTCGTTGTTATTAAAATTATCAATCTCATGTTCATTAAAATTATTTATAATAATGTTCTCTGACGTCAGGATGGTAACTGTTGCAGTCTCACTTGGTCTATTCAACTCTTTAGGGTTGATATTGTAATCAAGGTCTTGATTAAGTCCTTTCCGACTTAAAATGTCTATCATATCATCCGTAGGTGTCGAATGATTGTCCGCATTATCTGTAGACAAGTAAGTGACATTTTCGTTGATTTGTGAACTTCTAGAGGATATTGGAATAAGAGAGTATGATGGCACACTTGAATTCTTAGTAGCTACTTCTACAACATTGATATCCGACTTTAATAGATCATTGTTTCTTTGGTTTCCGCTGTCATCTTGATTTCCTTCTTGTTTCTATAATAAAATAATGCAACAAAATTTAGGTGCTAAATATTATTTTTTAAAAAGTCACAATACATACCACTTCATCGTTACTCATTCTTTTATGTGTTTTTAAATGACTTTTTAAGCTATGAGGTGTGGTAAAAGATCGTTTGCAGTTTTCGTAAGTACACACATAAGGTCGTTCTCCTGTATGTGTTCTTTCATGCGTTTTTAAATGATGCGACGCTGTGAAAGCTTTACCACATCCCTTCTCTTGGCACCTGAAACAAAGAATTATTTAATTCTTCTGTTTAATTCTCGCGTGATAAAAATGTATGAATTCGTTTATATAAACTATTTGGTCGTTGTATCGAGTATTGAGAAAACTCAATTTTTTAGTGAACTATTGATGCGATATTATACATCTATTGTATATCTGATAACATACTTGTAAGGTCTTTCTTGAGTATGAGTACGAATATGTTTCTTGAGATCACTTAGAGTAGTGAAGAATTTAACGCATCCAGTTTCTTCGCAGTTGAACGTGTTGCCACTGTGAAGTCTTTGGTGAGCTCTCAGTCTGTAAAGGGTATTGAATGCTTTCTCGCAACCTTTGTGATTGCATTCAAAGGGTTTTACTTTAGTGTGTACTCTAGTGTGAATCTTTAGGCTGTACGACGTGAGAAAGGCCTTGCCGCAACTTGGTTCTGCGCATTTAAATCGATACTCGCCTGAAAGTTTTGAGAATTCCCTCCACATAAAAAGTTTGCTGGACTATCTATTGCTCGCAGTATCTGAAAGCCATGCAGGTCGAAGCGATCCCTTTATACCAGCAGTGATGACTTCATAATGAGTAATACTATATGTGTAAAGAGCTTTCATAAAACACAATTACATTCCATGTATACTTATTCAATGAAAGAGCAAAATGAACACACTCACCTTCTTTCCTTCATTCTTGAGTAGCACAAATAGATAAACATGTGTTATTCTAGACAAGTGAACACATCATGCATAGCATATAATGTTATTTTCAATTGCGTAAATGAAATGATTATTCAGAGAAACAGAGAATATGATTGTTCTAGTTTAATTTGATGTTTAGATGTTAATGCTACAAATACTCAATACTTTCTTTAGGCTTTATATTATATGATGAAATGCATGTAGCTCCATCAGGCAATGTCAATATAAATGCCTTACCTTTATGAGTTTTCATGTGAGTTCTCAAATTCCCAACTGTGCTGTATGTTCTAGTACAACCTTTGTATTCACAGGTATATCGGCCAATATGCTTTTGGCTGTTGGTCGAAACTTTGCTCTCAATAGTAATAATCTCATGAGCAGATTCACTTGACAACAATTCATCATGACCAGAGTGAATTCGCATAAGGATCTCATGAGGACTAATTGTATGATGTATTGACCTATAACAAAAAAATAATTGTATGTACGTAACATATAATGCACTTGTGTTATGTACATACATCTAGTTGTTTCCAGTTTTGTTTTGTAAATCATAAATTCGATGTTTCTATATATAAACATACTAATTTTGTCAATGTAAACAATATATAAGAACTAGGTGTGACTAACATCTGGCTAAATGTANATGAGGACTAATTGTATGATGTATTGACCTATAACAAAAAAATAATTGTATGTACGTAACATATAATGCACTTGTGTTATGTACATACATCTAGTTGTTTCCAGTTTTGTTTTGTAAATCATAAATTCGATGTTTCTATATATAAACATACTAATTTTGTCAATGTAAACAATATATAAGAACTAGGTGTGACTAACATCTGGCTAAATGTA